CCGAGATATAACGATTTGAAGAAGTACATGATTAGTCGGAATCACGAAAAAATTCAAGCTTTGACAGATCATATCTCCGAAGAAAAAATAAATAAATGAATTCCTCGAACACGTTTAGCTTATTTCATGTATAGAACCCACAAAAAAAATTTGAAGCGAATCGGAGACATGGCATAATTTTTTTACGAAATCCGTCCGACTTAAAAAAGAATGGCTCATATATAGATTATATATATAGATGATTAATTTGGCTGCGCGAAAGGCCAATTTCGTAAATGCAAATTTCCAACATTTTTTGTTGCCATTCGATAGGGAATACTGCAAAATAACAAAAACTTTACTTTGTTTTTGTAAAATAAAAAAGACCGTTAAACGGCAGTCAAACAAAGTTACACTTTCAAAACGTTATTGCAGCGTTGCCGTTTTCAATTCGTTTATTTACCCAGAAAAAAAATCCAAATTACCCACAAATCCCCACACAAATTTTCAAATTCCCAGCAAATTCCCCACAAACCATATAAATATTTATATGTTTAGTTTTCCTCACAAAGCTTTATATTATCATTTAAAATATGTAATTTCTATGCATTTACATATTTTTTTGGCAAGTGATAGGAATTTTTTATTAAATGCCGTTTGTCTAGAACGGACGAATCGCTCCACAATAGCAATAGCATTTGATGATTCCATGCAATTACTGGGTACTGATTTCGTCGAAAATTATTTTAATGTCACTGACGCAGCGCTATATAAAATATTTTTTTTAACATACGTCGCTTACGTTATTTTGGCGGTTAGGGCTCGATATGGCATAATCAGCAAAAGCGCTGAAGGTATTTTACCCAGAGTTACTACCCTGACGGAAAAAAAAAATGTGTCTCATAAAATAACATATGTAAAAGGTAGTTAATTTTCAATTAATTTAAAACAAATGCAGATTTAGACAGTTTCGTTTTATATTCTCCTTTGCCGCTCTGATTTAATCATTCCGTTAACTCTGTTCTTTCTGATCAGTGTTGCCGCGCCGTCATGAAAAAATGTATCGTAAAAAAACAAAAATTTGATCAAATGTATCACATAATTTTTATACCCGAGCGCACTTGTGCACAAGGGTATATTAATTTTGTTCACATAACGGTTGTTTGTAACAGCCAAAACGAATCGAGATAGATATAGACAAATGTATACATAAATGATCAGAATGAAAAAAGAAATCGATTAAGCCATGTCTGTCTGTCCGTCCGTCCGTCCGTCCGTGTACACGATAACTCGAGCAAAAACTGAGATATCTCAACGAAATTTGGTATATAGGTTTCTGTTAATCCAAGGTAGGTTGGTATTGAAAATGGGCGAAATCGGACAATAACCACGCCCACTTCCCATATAACGGTAATTTCCAGAAATACGAAAACTGCGATATTTTAGTAACTACTGAAGATAATTCACTCAAAATTGATATTTACAATAATTTTTAGACGAAAAATAAGAATATTATAAATTTTTGGAAAATGGGCGTAGCCACGCCCACTTATGGTTACATGTGTATATCTTGGTAACCGCTGCACCAATTTCTTCCAAACTTGGCACAGTTGTTGGTCTTCGCACAACATACCAAATGGCCGAAAATTTTTAAAATCGCTCAATAACCACGCCCACCTCCCATATAACGGTAATTTAGAGAAATACATAATCTTCGATAAATCAGTAAATATTGAAGCTAATTGATTCAAAATTGATGCTTGCAACAATTCTTTACCAAGAAATACGTTTATGGTAAAATTTTGGAAAATGGGCGTGGCACCGCCCACTTATGATCACATATAAGTATATCGGTAACCGTTCTACCAATTTGTACCAAACTCGGCTTACCATCTAGCGGAAGGTTTCGGAAAGGTGAAAAAACATATATTTAATACTTGCGCCGGGTATTTAATGTTCGGCTCCGCCCGAACTTAGACTTTCTTACTTGTTTTAAGTATCATAGTATAAACTAACCAAAAAATTTAAAAATTTAAAAAAAATTATTATGCATAGATTTCACAGAAACTTAAATACAAATACATACATACATATGTACTTAAACTACTAACAGTCATCATTTATGTTCATTGTTTAAGTTCAGCTCATTATAAATAATCCGTTTGAAGCATTTCGCTTTCAGTTTATTGGGCCTTAAAACATTTCAGTATTTTCGATCAAATCTTAAAAGTTACGGCCACTGCATACATTTGTATATATTTTCTCTTTGTCATATATCAAAATTTGTATTACGCGGAAAGTTTAAGTATCTCGCAAAATGATCGAAAAAAAGTATTTACCGAAAACTGGCACAAACACGTAGCATTTACCTCATATTTACATAGGATGCTTTAAAGTAAACCAATTTTACACATTCTTAAATCGAATTGAAACTTTTAACCTTGCCGCCATAAATGACATTTTGAGTAATAAGCGTGCATATACATAAACACGGGATTAGTCCACACGGTTGTTTCATGGAACTCTGTATGAAGTAAAACATTTAAATAGTTCTAGAAATTACATTTAGGCTAAGTTTTATTATAAAATGAATAGCTAAGATTCCTTTTCCTTGACTGATGGAGTCTTTAATTATTATTTTTGAATGTTTATTAATTTCAAAAATTAACACATGTATTAACAGGGTTGCATCGGGATGAACGCAGTTTGAAGGTGTGTTTGATCGACTCATTTCTTTTGTTGCAAAAAAATACTTGTATTTCAAGCGAGCTATACTGACATGGCAACACTGCTACTCATTTCGTTTTGTTAACTTCGTTTGCGCTTTGATATAAGGCTAAGCACATACATATGTACTACAGCGGCGAGAAACGCGAAAATAAACGCGAGCAAAGCGACGAACCTAACAAAACAGCCGTGTTTGCAATTTTTTGAAGCATTCATTTGACATATATGTACATAGGTATATATAATATATAATTTCAACGGGCCCTAATATTCGCTCAATTTTTTATTCTAAATTTTCACTATATGTATATTATAAAACAGCGTCGCATTCTTGGGTATAATTTCGTTCTTTTTGTTTTTCTCGAAATGTATATGTATTTTATGAATAAATCTATTACCTTTCCAACCATACCCACATTTTGAAAGTCGGTTCAATACTTTTCGAAATGTAAGCTTTTAACAATATTGAAAATTCCACCTTTACCCCTCTCTAACACACCCCCTATTAATTTGCATCAACAAATTTTCATACCGTTAGAATCAGTGGAAGAATGCGGACCTTGCCCACCTTTCCTTTTTTTCTAGCTCGAAGGACCCTATTCTTTACATATGCCTTGATATTGAGAAACGATAAATGCAAATAAAACAAACTTGGTTGAATTAAATGCTTTTCTCTTCTACCGAATCGTCGCAATATTCGCGAATATGGGTACCTATGCGTACATACGTGTTTGTTTCTCTTCGCGTCTATCTTCGCTTTGCTCGCTGCTCCAGTATGTGCTTAGCCTTAGCATGCCATGTTTTTTTTCCTTGTTTATGTTTTTCTTTTCGCGTCACTTGTTTTATGTTGCGTTCGAGAATAGTTCGCGAATTTCAATAAGTGTACTTATTTCTACATAAAAAGTATTTTCAACGTATTAAAAACAATAAAAAGAATATAAGTTAATTGCAAAAAAGGTAAAATGAGCAGTGGTTTCAGTAAAAGACATTTGAGAAGGCAAGTGAAGAATAAAAGGGAAAAAATGTGGCTTTGCTTGACCAATATGCTTTTGCAAGTGCGAGTGATTATAGTAAAGAAAAAACTAAAGAAATAGAAAATGTTGAATATGTTAATGATAGTTTTGAAGAAGAAACTATAGGTTTAGCTTCAAATAACGTGAAAACATTCATAGAAAAAATAAAAGAGTGGTTTTTGGGGAATACCTTGTCTCGCCAGTGCCTCGAGCAACTATTAGTGATTCTGAAAGAGGAGAACGTACCACTCAGTGCTTCAACTTTAATTGGAAAACAGCCTAATAGAATAATAACAAAATCAATCCTGGTGTTTATTGCCATTTTGGTGTAGAAAACCAAATATGTAGGGCTGCGGGTGAAGTAAATCTTTTATCTGAAATTATTGTTAATATAAATGTCGATGGGCTGCCATTATTTAAGAGTTCTAAAGCTCAATTGTGGCCCATTTTAAAGAAGATTATGAACGCAAGCAATATTTCTACATTTTGTGTCGGTGTGTACTTTGGGTACAAAAAGCCCGATGATATTAGTGAATTCCTATTGAATTTAGTAGATGAACTCAAACATTTAATATCAAACGGCACTACTATAAGCAACAAATTAATTCCGTTTAAAGTAGGAGCGCTGATATGCGATGCGCTAGCTAAATCTTTTGTGTGTGGCGTTCCTTCCCATACTTCAAGCCATGGATGCACCAAATGTTGTCAAATTGGGAAAAAGATCAATAATACCCTAACTTATTCTACTGAAAGTGGGGACTTATTGTCAAATGAAGATTTTCGCTCAAGGAAATACTTGAAGCACCATCAAAAGCTTTTCTACAATATCAAAACTCCTTTGGAGAGCATTGACTTTAATATAATAACGCAAGTACCACTTGACCCAATGCATCTTTTAGATCTCGGAGTTGTTAGAAAATTTTTGTCGAGAATGTTTTATGATAAATGCAATTACAGATTAAGTAAAGAAAACAAGAAAGGAATATCGGAACACTTGGTGTGCCAAAGGAATTTGTTCGAAGGCCTCGAAGTTTTGATGAGCTAGCGAATTGGAAAGCAATAGAGTTCAGACAGTTCGGCTTATACACGGGCATAGTTGTTCTTAAAAATAAGGTTCATGATGATGTTTATGATGAATTCCTTTTATTATTCTGTGCTTATCGTTTGCTGTCGTGTCCTAAAAATTGCATAAAAAATATTCCTACTGCTCAAAATATGTTGCAGCTGTTTGTTAAGAATTTTCCCATAATTTTTGGAGAAAATAGCTTATCGCATAATATTCATGGACTTTTGCATTTAACAGATTCAGTAAATGTGCTTGGAGATCTAGCAAATTTTTCAGCATATCCTTTTGAGAATTATCTTCAAACATTGAAGAAATATGTGAAGAAGCCCTCGCAAGTATTGCAACAAATCTTTAAAAAAATCGATAATGAAAAAATTATGGTCGGAAAAATAGGGTCTGAAGTAAAATACAAGAAGAACAGAATCATTGGCATTTCACATCAGGATTATTTTATAAGTTCCCTTAGTCCTGACAACTTCTGTTCTATTTCATCAAATACATCAATCAAAGTGATTGGTTTCAAAAAAATTGACAGCAAAATTTTTATAACTGGAAACAAATTTACCAAACTTGAAAGCCTTTTTAAAGAACCCACTGATTCTATCACGTCTCTGGGCATATGTATTGTATATCCAGAAAGCTTAGGTCCAGAAGAGAACTTTACTTTAGATCAAATCACACACAAATTTGTTGGTTTGCCACTTAAAAATCAATTACTTTTGATACCACTGCTACATTGCTCTATTGAAGAAACGAAAATGTATAAAAGAAAAATAACTTTGAAAAACTCCGAAAATACGAAACCGAAAATAAAAAAGGTAAATGTTACTCCAGAGGGTAATTGCTGTAATTGTGCAGAGCTACGTGATTTTTCCAGGCAGAAATAAATAATACAAAAGGTAAGTATATAAATAAATATGTTTATAAATTTTGCCTACTAATATTTAATTCTTGCCAGAGCAACAATTACAGCATAATAAAGCTATCATGGAGGTGCTAGCGGATCAAACTGTGCTGATCAAATCTTTGGTTCGAAAAGAAAGTTCTGAAATTTCTATCTGCACATCATTTCCAGTACATAATGAGGACGCTTTAGCAACTGTTGATAAACAAATAAACGAAGCAAACAGATCAATTTATGTAAGTATAATTCATTGCCAACCAAATGTGAATGCCTACCAATAATATACACTTGTGGTCAGCTGATGAAGTTAAGTGCCATTTTGACCAGTTTTGGTTATTTCTCTTTTGTCTACATTACACAACCGGCACCACATAAATCCACATTTCGAACTTTATAAAAAAAATTATAAAAATTCAAAAAACTTTAACAATTACACCCAAATATTTTAAACTTTTTTTGCTGACGGTGCGTGTCATTTTCTTCCATATAAACTTTATATTATATTATATTAATTACATTATAATTATATTATAAAGTACGCTAAAGTACTTTTATATACCAAATTTTTTATTTAATGTTCATTACTTTTTAATATTAAAAACTATATACATTTTCATGTATGAAAATTTTAAATGCCAACTTTGTATAAAATTGAGAAAAATTTAAAAAATGTTCATCAAAGTTTCAAACTACATTTCTAAAAAAAGTTTGGTATGATGACAATTTGGTTTTTGTTATAGAATAATCTATATTTTTATACAAAAATTAATGAACATAAAATAAAAAATAGAAGAAATGTCAAAATCGGTGAAAACGTAGCACACCTATTATTTTCCCCATGAGTGTTATATTCATATATTTTTATATAACCTCTTGCAGGTCAAAGGAATGAAATTCCTTATGAGAGGACAAAAAGAAGCTTTTGTCGATACTTAGTCAGGATTGCATACTTAAATACAACGTCGACGGCACACATGGACAGAAAAGTCTAAAATACTATAACAATTTTTACTCTGTCCTAAAAGGTATTGTATATTGTATAATGATAACTATTAAACTATTTCATTTACTTTAAATTATTCTTCCAACATATAACTAGACGCCTTTTATGAGAATGAAAATGATCCTGAGGACACGATTCGCAAACCTATTCAATCTGTAAAAAGAGACTATTTTCATTCCGAATGCATGAGGAAAAAACAATCAGCAGTTTAAGCAGCTTTACTTATGAACATCAATTCTTATATTCACTTAAATATTAACACCTCGTACATAAAGTGAGTAACAGTAAAAATCGAACAATGATTATTTTGCAGTGTTTTCCATACTACTTTGAATTATTCAGTCTAAAAAATTTTAATTGCCAGTAAGATTTTAAATTTTTTGAGCATGTACTTTAAATTACTATACAATTTATTTCAGATCTATTTAATAAAAATTATTTATCACTTGCATATGTATGGAAATATGCAATTAATGGCACTCAACCAAATCTAACGAATGACAAAAAAATGAATACCCTTCAAAAGCGTATTATATGCTAGAATAAAATTAGCACCCCCATTTGATATTGTTTGCCACTTAGTGTGTTAGAATTTTTTTGAGTATACAGTTTTATAGCCTATTTAATTTTAGTGTGATAATGTGTAAGTTTCAAGTGGCTAAAATTTACCGTTGATTTTTTAGAATTTTTTTCTCGCATTTGCTTTCATATAACGAATAAACACTTTTTTTATATTGATGAAAACCGCAATACTTCGGCAAAAAAATCTAAAAAATTAAAAGAAATTTTTAGCCACTTGAAACGTGCCCATTATTACAATTGAAAATTAAATAGGCTATAAAACTAAAAAACTATAAATTCTAACACTTCTGAGAAAAAAGTTTTGAATTTAGATAAAAATTTGTTGAATTTTTTTTAGTTTTCTAAAATATTTTAAATTTGTTATAGAATGAAATGTACTTTAACTGAAAATTCTTAAACATAATTAAATAAACATAATTGGCAATAAATATCACTTTGAAATGGGAGTGCTATTGATATGACCGATACTGTATGTGAAGTTTACTAACTGGAACTTTCTTTTATTTTTATTATATTTTCTATACAAAAGAAACTTTGAAATACTCTGTAAAGTACACAAATGTATGCTGTAAATGTAATCGTAAACAATATTTTGAATTAAATCAAATGAATATCTTTATGAAAACTATAAAGCAATTAGTTTAAAAAGAATATATTTTTAAGTTGTTTAATGAAAACCAAATAAAAATTACTTTGAGTTCAATGTATGTTTAGGTTCTTGTATTTAAACATAATTAAAATTAGTTTAAAATAAATAATTTCTTAACTAGTTGAATAAAAACTGAATTAAAACTGATTTGAAATAAATACATATTCAAGTTGTTTAATCCAAATGCATTTTAAATTAGTTGAAAATACATGCAGGAAAAGGTAATTGACTGCTTCCTAGGACATCGCCATGTTAAATAAATGAGTTCGTTGCAGGTAAAATAGTGAGAATTTCAATAAGTTGTAATTGAATATAAAGTAGTTTATAAATCACTTTCAAACTAATTGAATTTCCTGCAGGGTAATGTCTGGGAAGTTGGCTGTTCTGAGTAGCCTTCCAATAGTTCTAGAGTTCTTCAAAAGGCAAAAAAGTTCTGGATATTGCCGTGAAAAAATGTAAACGCCAAGTGGCTAAAAATTCGTATTTATGACGCGATTTGGCTCATATTCGGAATATGTATTGGTAATGGTAAGGGCAATACTTTTACAAAAAGGAGCCGCCGGGTAGCGCTGGAGTCGAGTTATTACTCAAAAACGTCCAGTGAGAGAAAGTGTCGTGAATGTCCGATTACGTCGGCCTGCTGCACCACTGAGTTTGTCGAACTGCAGTTTTTCCGACTGGATCAATGGATATGATTTACCAATATTACTCTGCGTTAATACTTCATTCGGAGACACTAGGGGTCCACGGGTCAATCTCAAACGACCTCCGTTAAATCAACTACCAGAACTATTGCGCTCCTTGATAAGGTATTTAAGGTATTTCGTCTGAAATAAATCTATGTATATCTATGTATTTGTGTGCAACAACGATACTCAGCTATTTTGAAATTGCCACGAGCTATACTATACAGTTTCAAGGAGAGATTCACCATCGAACCGGATCATTGTTCCCGCGAGGGAGTGAAGAGGAACAAATTCTTCAAATTTATTTCGCTGTACGATTGACCGTCATGTGAAACGCCAAATCATTGGGGGAAATTCCAAGAACTTTTCCGCGGACATTACACTTTTGTTGGGTTATTTAAGACTGCCTTGGAAGTATGCCTTCCGAAGACCGAACTATAATATTAGCATATAAATCGTGACCGTGAATTGTTGGTGAAAATCTTTGACCAAAATGTTTCAATAAAAAATTTAAATTTGGACGGAACGAAGTTCGCCGGGTTTGCTAGTTTAGTATAAACGACAAAATATAATCAAATATGACGCTATAAAGAAGTAAGGTTAAGCTAATCAAGACAGAAACTCGCTCCACTATTTGAAATTTTTAACCAATTGAGTTACAATCGGCAAAGTGTACAAATATTTTTCTATGGTTGAGCTATTTCCATACAAAATGCATTAATTTACACCATGAAAAGTTAAATAAAAATGAACTTAAAATGTAAACTTCCACGCAAGTATTAAAACCATTTTAACTTTTTTGTTTGTGAATAAATTCAAGCACGTTTTTAGCAAAGTTTATAGTATAAAAATAAAAAACTAGGGATAGTGTTGCAAAATCGGTGAGAGTATAGGTCAAAACCGGTTTTAAGGCCAAAACCGGTTTTAAGGCCAAAACCTTTTGAGAGCCAATTATAGTCCTGAGCGAGACCTTTTCGGCGACGTAAAGTTTTTAAAAATAGGATACCAAATAAGAAAGGTATGAAAAATACAAAAAATTACACATTTCTAGGTACATATTGTGCCGATGTACTTATTTTTTCTTAGTCAAAGAGGTAAATATTTTACCTTTGTAATTAGACTAATTGGTTAAGTCTTTATATATCAAAAAAGGGTCTTTGAAGGGCAAGCCTTAAAATAAAGGACAAAACATGGTTTTAGAAAAATAAATAAAGTCAAAGGACAGCACCTTAGAAAAAGTATTGTCCTTTGAATTAAAGTACGGATGGTCACCATAATTATAATACAAAAAAAAATTGTATTAGGGAATAAAGGCGAAATTTTATTATGGCAAATTTTAATCTGTAGTTCAATTGATGTTGCACTGAGAATCTTTGAATCCGATTACTATCTGGGTTGTACTTGGAAGCTTTGTATGCTAACATTTCTTTTTGATAATAATATAAATATGATCGCTAAAATATAAATGGAGGAGTGACTGGCGTGCTTGTTGGACTCGCCCAAAATCGCTTAGGCAAATACAACAAGCTGCGTGTGTTTTGTTGCTGATTTTGTTCTCTAAAATGTTAAAAAGATAAACAAAATCTGATATTTCAGAATAAAATGTAAACAAAATTGACAATTCATAGACCACTTCGAATGAAAAAAATGCAAATTGCAACCCTCTGGTGCTGTAACTTATTCAATGTGCTTGGAGTCAACCGGTGATTCAAAGCAAAATAATTTCTGCAAACTGCTGCACAAAGATAATTCAGACAAATATCAATAACAAATTATAGCACACTGACAGACAGAATTACCCCAAATGGACCAAGAATACATCGTTTTAACATTAATAACTACCGCGGCGAAAATCTCAGCTGTTCATGGAAGACCACCTTGTATAAAGTACTAAAGTAATTTTTACACAGAACTTCTAATAATACTAACTAGTTATACTTGTACTGTTGCCCGTTTTAATTATTAGAGGTTTACGCCGACAGGCCTAGAAATAATCGGCGGCGGCGGGGTGGGACACTGGGATTTCGGCCGAAAAAATTATATTGGTGAAGGTCACATTTTATCATTTTTTATACTTACTAGGGGTTGGCTTTCCATTACATCGGTTTTTGGTTGTTTGTACAAAACTATAACGAATTTCGTCATGATGTTAAGGGATGTTAAGAATCGTATATGTTTACATTTTTATCACTCTTTTCACTTTATTAGTAATATTATTTAACTAATTTGTTGGTAAATTCTTTGCAGTTTCACTAGCAAAGCTTCATATAAAAAAGAGCATTTAACACTTATATTTTTATAAATATACCATCTTTGCAATATTCACGTATATTTTGTGTACCTAAAATATATTTTATTTAGTTTTTTAACAATATAAAAAGCGTTTAATAATTTCACTACTCTTCTCCGACAAAGTAAACAAGCAAACAACGAAACAAATCAAAATGGCTGTGATGGTGAATATAAAGGATGCCACCACATATTCGAATATTCAACAAACTAAAACGAAGGGATCTTCAACAATAGGGTGGGCTGAAAGTTCCACAATTTCAAAACCTTTAACGGCCCAGTGATAAAAATTTGCATAAGGGAAAGAGAAATTGAGAGCAAAAAGAAATTTTGAAATTCTTTAATATTTGACCCTCGCGCATGGGGATCACAATTTAGATTTTTTTTTTTAATTTTGATGCTTTTCCAAATTTTTTTTTACAATTTCTTATGCTTTATTTTAAACCTCTAGGAGTAATATTTCAACACATTATATGCAAAGGCGTGCTGGGTTTAAATTTGGAATTGGGAATTTCCTTTGCGCCGCCCCATTTTTTAAATTTTATACCCAAGCGCACTTTGTTCACATAACATATTTTGCATGTTTGATTGTTACATGCTTTTTTTGGGTTGACAAAATTAAAAAAAAAATTATTCGGAAGTTTTCTACATATTTTTAATAAATTTTTTGCCGCCCCTGACAAGCTGCCGCTCTGGGAATTTCCCAATTTCCCATACGGCCAGCACGCCACTGTTTATATGATATCGTTTTGTATGTACCTATATTTTAACATATGTATTATGTCATATAAAATGGTTTTTGTATGCAGCTCTTGGCACGAGCAGCATATCTAACTCGCCTCAGAACTCACCACGGGAAGGTAGCTGCAACTAGAGTTCCACCCACGCCCTTCTCAACCAACCAACCAAGAAGAGCCAAATACTACCCTCTAGTTATTGTCACTTACCGATTTATTAAATCTTCACGTTGAAGTGTGCCTTGTTTGTAAAGGATGGCATAATTTCTCTGGACAGCAACGTAGTTCGAATGAAACCATCCCTATTTTT